GCTCGGCCGAGGAGAGCGACAAGGCGCCGTGATGAAGGACATCATGCGACGTGTGGTTGCCAGCCGACAGCTCCAAGGGCAAGAAGCTATGGAAATGTTAGGCGTGGAGGCGGCTACGGTCAAGAACAATCGCCTCCGCCATGCCGGCTTCACTCCCAGCCAATGGGTTCTTGGACGACTGCCGCCAGAAGTCGACAGCCTTACTTCGCCTCTTGCGCCCGATCGACTTGGACAGCATCAGGAGATCCACGACGGCCAGACAGCCTTCGCAAGGCAGGCAGCCATTCGAAGCGCGGCTCGGCAAGCATTTTCGCAGGCCGACTCCTCTGAAAGGATTCGGGCAGCACTCCTCAGGAAGAGTGTTCCAATGCGTGGCCCCTTTGTCCAAGGGGATCTTGTCTGCTTTCGCAGAAAGGCTGGCCCAGGACCCCACAAATGGTTTGGCCCTGCAAGGGTTGTCGGCCAGGAGGGCCGTTCGACTCTTTGGATCGTGCACGGTGGCATCCCTCTTACCGTGTCCGTTGAGCAAGTTCGTTTTGCAACAGGCGCCGAAGCCTTTGCCAAGAGGCAGCTGGAGCTTAAGCCGAGCCGGAAACGAAGACGCGAGGACCTCGACGGCGTGGACAGCGACGGCCACGACTACCCTTTCGGCGACGACCTCAGTGGAGCTGGAACGGCAGCTGGAGCGCAGGGTACCTTCTTCGACATCAGCGAACCTTCGCTTATACCTTCACATGGACCTGCACCTCCTCCTGGACTACCTGGACCACCAGACGGCCCTGGAGGCGTTGCTCCACCTCCTGTTCTTCCTGGACCTTCGCCTGACCAACTTCCTGGTGTGGACGTTCCTGTCCCAGATTCTCCCTTGGCGCCTACAACCGAGATCAGCTCGGAGCCAGATCAGGAGCACATGCCACCCAGCCGACGTGACTCCACCGAGATTCAACCTGCCGGCCCACCGGTGACCTTCACCCCTCTGCAGCAAGCTATGCATCGGTTTGTGGATGCACTTGATGGACACCCAGCCCGGAAACGCGAGCTCTCTCCTTCAGTACGCACGGAGCCCACCTTTGAACGTCGACCACCTCCTGGACTACCGCCACCTTCAAGTACGGAGACGGCAACCGGGGCTTCAACTGCATCTACCTCCTCTCGAGCCTTTGGCGCCTTCTTGGCCAAGAGGACCGTGAACAAGAAGAGCGCCGCAGCCCGTGCCAAAGAGCTCAACTTCAACAAGTCCGAGGGCAAGCAGAGAGAAGGCATCGCGCAAGCACGCGGGAAGGAGTGGAACAATTGGAAGGATTTTGATGCAGTGGACGTGATCCCTCCTTCTCAAGTTGATGCCTTCCTGAAGGAGCACTCCGACATCGGCGTCACCCCGATGAGATGGGTAGACACCAACAAGGCTCAGCCATGGGAGGAGGCACGCTACAAGTCTCGCATTGTTGTGCGAGGCGACCTGGAATCTGGAGCTGCCGACGCACGAACCGATTCCCCTACTTGTTCATCCTTGATGCTCAACTTCATGTTATCCACGTGTGCAAGCAAGCGCTGGAAGATTCGTGGAGGCGACATCACCGCCTCCTTCTTGCAGGGAGAACCGATGGAGAGAACGTTGATCTTGAGTCCACCGCCAGGTGGCCTCCCAGGCGTGGAGCCTGGGTCACTGCTAGTGGCCAGAAAGCCCGTGTACGGCACCCGGGATGCACCCCGCGGATTCTGGAGGAGACTTCATCGGGTATGTCTCGAACAAGGTCTGGAAGCCATTCCTCTTGAGCACGCCTGCTACGTGCTCAAGAAGGAAGGCCGCGTAGCAGGCGTCCTCATTTCACATGTCGACGACATTCTCTGGGCAGGCGAGCAGCAGATGCAAGACATCGCGGCCCGGCTCCGCAACGAGTTCAAATTTGGAACTCTTGACGACGACAAGCTCATCGAGTACTGCGGCCGGCAAATCTTTCAGGATGTGGATGGAATCCGCGTGAGCTGTCCTAATCCGGCTGCCAAGGTGCGTCCAATTCACTTGGACGGTCAACGGCGCAAGATGAGAGGAGCAGAGGCCACTGACTCGGAGCGCGGGCAACTCCGCTCCGTTGTGGGCACCTTGAATTGGTTGGTCCGTGTTTGCAGGATCGATATCGCCTACCAGGTGCACCGCCTTCAGACTGTCCTCAAGACCTGCACAGTGGACGACCTCCTCTCCTGTAACCAGCTCCTCAGCTACGTGAAGTCCACCCCGAATAAGGGCCTCTTCTTTCCGTACGGAGCAATGGAGATCGAGGATGCGAAGGTGCTCTCCATCACAGATGCAAGCCACGCCGCGGACTTTGACACCTCACAGGACGGCAAGCGGCTTGGCTACCGCTCCCAGGCAGGGAGGCTGCTGGTTCTCTGTGGGCACGACTTCCTGGAGAACTCCGGCGGGCAGGTCTACATCCTCGGCTACCACTCCAACGTGATAAGGCGAGTCTGTCGCTCAACGCTTCAGGCAGAAACATTGGCCTTGATCCAAGGATACGAGGAAGCAGAACATGTCCGGGCTCTACTTCACCACGTCTGCGGCGGCAAGGTGGACAAGACTCTCACCGAGGCCATGGACGCGCGGGAGCTCATCATGCTGACGGACTGCCGATCGCTCGAAGAGCATGTGAACCAGGCCGGACTCCACACCGTGGCTGATAAACGGCTAGCTATAGATCTCTGCGGGATCAGACAGCTGGTGTGGCGAAAGGCTGGCGAGGAAGTTGGAGACCCCTTGTACTCTGATGCTCCTCCCGTGAACGCCACCACCCTGATCCGCTGGATCGACACGAGCACCATGGCGGCAGATGGGCTGACAAAGGCCATGAAGGCTCCGCAGCTTGACCTCCTCATGAGAAGCAGTCGTGTGGAAGTGAGCTTCACTAAGATCAGCTGACAGCTGGTCCAATTTTCGGATCCATGCCCATAAAGAAAGTTATGGGTGTGAAATCTGAGGTCCCGACATGTCTATGCATGCATGAGCAGCATGGGCATGGACTGGCATCTACTGGCTCAAGCCAGCGAAAAGGTGCGTTGCACTTTGCTACTTGGCACCAGTGCGGGAGTTTGCTCTCGCATTTGAGGGGTTAGGGTTGAGAGGTTGAGGAGGATTTGATGAGGGATTGTTTAGGATTTGGGGAGGAATGATTGAAGAGGGATCTTTGGTATTATTGAGAGGATATTGAGGGATTTTTATATGATTATCGAGGAATCGGATAGACCAATCGTCGGGTCCAGAAATTTCTCAATGATGCCGAATTGTTGATGATTATGAGATTTCTTATATTTCTGAGGGATTTATTGGATTTTTACTTCTGGATAAAAGGTATATTTATAACATTTGCTTACGATTTCAATGATATTATATTAGATGATCTATGCAGTGGAATGGATATAGAGATATTTGGGATTAAGGTTTTCATTTAGGAATTGAAGGAGGGATTTTAATTCGGTACCCAAAAGTTTTTCAATCTTCAACCTTAATTATTAATATGATTGGAACATTGTAGGCTGCGTCCTAATAATGTGTCCGCCGTGCGCGGCTGTCGTTGCGAGGTGCGAAGTCATCTCAAATGAAAAAGAACCATAACAAACGAAACAGCAGGCGAAATCCCAAATGGGACGGGTCACGATTGGGCAAATGCGCCCACCACCACCCCCAATTGAGGGAAGACGCCAGAAAATAAGAGAAAACGAAAGAAAGACGAAGGAATTCTCCAAAAGTGAAATAGATAAGAATTATGAAAATGAAACAATTCTAGAAACTCAACGCCTCACTTGACCGCCGCCAGCCATCGTAGGGCAAAGCTTTCCATTCTGCGCGGGGGGGCATCATCCTGATAAATTAAATCCTTCAAGAAATTGCCAACAAGAATGCGCGAGAGGGACCACAATCCTCTGGCGTAATGAGATTGGACATTCGCCCCCGTTCATATCACCTATGCACGGAACGTTGGATGCGATTGACATGCGAGATATGAGTCGTAAATGAGTGCGACCCAAAATTTCTTGAGTTTTATGATCAGTCGCCTAGTAGAGAGATTCGCACAGACGAACCGCCTCTGCCTCCAACCGCCCAACATCTCGAAAACCACAGGTTCAAATCCAATGCCTTGGGCTCGATACTGCTTTTGAATAGCATGATGAGAATATTTGATTTGAACATAAAAACTAACAATTCCCTGGGCTTTTTCGGCAGCAACCTAAAATTCCCCAACCTTGAAAGGAGAAACAACCGCGAAATCCAAAGCTATATGGGGATACAAAGCCCATTGGGATTGTCTACACAAGGGAGTTGGTACAAATAAGACATCGGCTGGTCGACGCCCCTGCTCCGTTGGCAAAATGCCCTCCGATTCAAAACGAGCCCCAAGCGCCACATTTAACAAACAATGGAAAAAAGCATCTCGGATTTGATTGTGCAATCGGACCTTTCTCCCCTCCATAGGGCAAGTGACGGCATGATGCGCATAGATATCCAACATCTGAGGGCATCGAGCACACGCTTGTTCGGCCGAGAACGCCGGCAATCCAAGTCGTATAGAAATAGCATCAACGAATGCATCATCGGAGAGACCGGTATCAAAAGCCGCACTAGGTTGAGCGCGGACCCAAGCCACGGACCATGATCCCATATATGATTGTATCCACGCAGTACCTCCCAAACAAACTTGAGACACAAGATGTCGTCGAGCCGCCTCAAAGAGCGTGGGCAAGATATCCTTCTGAGCTATTGGCTCCCTATACTCCTGGAGAACCACCACGTGATTGGAAAGATGAGGCATCAATTTATCACGAGCAGCTTCATATCCCAACGGCACGAAATCCCGCTCCGAGCGAAGCAAAGCATCAACTGCCGGCCGAGTAGCCCGGCACGCAACCAAGAAGGTCAAGTCAGACTTATGGCAAGTACCTCCATTCATTTCAAGGGTATCGGTCATCAAGCCCAAGCCGCCAAATGAAGCTGGCAACCAAGCCTATTACCACGCGACTGAAGGAACCGCCTGTCCCAAGATACTTTCAAAGCAACGCTTGAAGCGCGCATCGTACCATTCGCACAAGTCAAACAAAAAGTTCCGGGGAATAGTGCGGGCCAAATAATTCAACTGGCCGAATCCCGTATATTGCTGGAGCAAATGGAAGGCCTCATATTTATATAGATACGTCTCCAAAGCTTGAAATTGATTCTCGAAGAAGTGTTGCTTCTCTTCGCAAAATTCTCGCAAGAAATCCTCGTTGTCTCCAACCGGAGCTTTCAAGATCTGGACATCAAGACCCGTGACCACCCGAACGCCCAAAGCCTGAAAGCCAGAGACATCCCCACGAAAATGTTCGCCGGAAAGCAAATAAAGAGTACACTGCTCCAGATCATATCTCAAGCCGAACTCAGCAGCCAAGCGGATTTCCTCCTGGAAGGAACGCAGCACATGGGAAGTTAATCCCCCACTAAAAGCATCATCCTCATATTCCGGCTCGAATTCTGGATGAACTCCTGCCGCAACACGCGCAGCCTCGGCCATACGTTTACGCGTGAGACAAAATAATATCATCATCAAGGGGCATCCTTGTTGGCCTCTCGAGCTGCTCTCCAAACGACCCCGGTATATTAAGTGCGAGTCGGACCCATAGCACCACTCCACGAATCTGACCGAAGCCGGCGCAAATTGCCGAGCATCCTAGATGAACTGCACCGGTAACAACTCATTAAATGTATTTTTGACGTCCTTCTGAAGAAGGACACATCTTCGCGATCCCGGTTGCGCCCAATCCACTCTCGACACGCATGAACCAAAGACTCGGCACCATTGGAAAGCCCAAACCGTAGGTTGAGTGGGCAACAACCTCTGTCGCATGCTAGTCAAATCCATTCGACACAAGCACTTGCCGACCAATTTCCGAAACACCTGTCCCATAACGATCGGACGGGCGTCACGGTCAAGCAGCACAGGACTCCCATCCTTCGCAACCTTGCCCACGCCGACCAGAGTACCTCCAGCAAGCCAAAGCCGTAAAGCGTGGGGGATTTGACCATCAGCCATTTTCTGAATAAATTCGGCCAGCAACGGCACAAGTGACGAATCCTCACCCGAACCAATCAATACCTTCAAGAAATCCGGCCTCAATCCATCAGGCCCTGGTCCCGAACCAACTGGAAAAGACCGAAGGGCCCTCAGTAAGGTGGGCCCCGGGATTTCGGGCGTTGGCGGCAACGCACTCGACTCGGAGATGGTCGCAGGAGCTACCCATCAACTTAGCACGGACTTCCGGGGTATCTCGGGCTAAGCCAGGTGAGGTCAAACGCTTCAAGGCTTGTCCCGGACGCCCCAAAGCAACTAGCCGACCAGCATCAGCACAAGTATCATCCCTCGACGGGGTTTTTGCACCGAGTAGGGGCCGACATTCAACGACCATGATGGCCTCATCCCACAAACTGCGACGTTCGCCCAACCGCCATCGTAACAAAAGCGATTTGGTGAAGGAGAGGGCTTGACCCCGTCGCTGACCACGGCGATTCTGTCGCAAGACTGTCTTCGGAAACATAAGCAACTCCAACCAAGCACGACGGGTCTGCTTCTTCGCGTCGTTGTCCGACCCATTGGCCGCCCCACCCAAATGCGTACGTAGGGAGAGGGTCCCAAGCAGTCATCTCGGCAAAGCAATTGACCCGAGCCAACAATTTACCGTATTCTTCGCGCAGCAAAGGCCATAGTTCGGCCGGCAGATGCTCCTTAGTGTAGATTGGCGAAGTGAAAATATCATGTAGCGATGGTAAATCTTCAATGGATACCTCCGGTGGCGCAATCAATCCAAGCTCTCGTTAATGTAGACGCTCTTGGGGCCAGCAACGAGGGTGAACCATTGAGGCTATGCGACAACTGATATTCTTTCTACATACACGACAACAGCGCAACTTCAACGATTCCAATCACGCATCAGAGGGATGTCCGCGCAACTCTCCAACAAGATGAAGGTCGACATGAGCTCTAACCGTATCGTGGGGGACCCAAGCGGGGCCATTGCCATGAGCTCGGGCACAACCAGGCACGGGACAAAACAAGGCCGGCATATCGCCTGTGCTTCCGGCGGCCATCGGCGAAGGAGACACGACACGAGATGGTGCCCGTGCTTGCAACGCGCGGAGTTCCTGCTGCAGTAAGGCGTCAGCCGAGACATCCAGGCCAAACAACTCTCTCAGCGCAGCATCTCGATCCGCATTCACAGCAGATTCCTCGCCCTCAAGCTCCACAATTGTCATGTCAACATCGGCTGCGTGACTGACGACGGCATTATCCCGCGCGCGACCGGACGAGAGGGGAACATCCGACGGGAAAGGAGGCAATATATAGATAGCACTCAACAATTCCAGTCATCCGCATCTGATGAGCAAGGAGAAATCCCAGCAGGAGACTGAAAATCCGACATGCAGGACGTGGAAGATGCCAATTCCGGTTCCAAAGAAACAAACCTATGGCGAGACAAAGGCAACCGCATAAGTTGCACTGGGAACAGTGCCATTTCAACAGTTCAAGAAAACAACACGCCTTTATCAGACTTCTAGCATGAATGGGACCGAGATATGAACGGCACAACTCGGAAGCCCGAAAACTGAGGTTGAGCCGCACCCGAATCCCAAAAAGTAACAAGCGAAGCCGCAGCGAAGCAGGTAATCGTCCATGCAATCCCCTGGTTGGAGGCACGAACCCCAACTACCATTGCCCAAAGATTGGCCCAACGAAGCGCCCCAAGCGACGGCGGCACATGACCGAATGTGGTGAAGGTAAAACAACGATGCCGTGAGAATCCAGAACTGTCGGAAATTGGTACGTCTATGGTGCGATTGTGACGATTGTGAAGACGTGAGCCGAAGGCATTCCCATCTCTGAGCCTCGCATAACAGCCCTCCCAAGAGAATCCCCAAGATGAAAAAGGAGGTGTACATGCTACACCTCTTCCTTTGAAAAGGAACAGATCTATTGGCATCACATCCTATCAATGTCCATCTCCGTAATTTATCAATCCCCAGCAAAGCCAATCCCACTAAACCACAAGCAAGACCCACGAGCCCAGCGGTGGGGGGGGTCGCACCCTTCCATGCAGCCGTTCAGCAGCGAGGACTACCCGCTGCTAGCGCCGGCGGCTCATGGCTCAGGGCGCATGCTGTATCATTGGCAAACCCGACATGAGCCGTAACATCACGCGCGAGCCACGGCAACCCCACAACGCAGGCGGTTAATCTTGGCTTCGGCCCCATCATCTTTGAGAGTTTGGATGGCCTTGAACAAGGGACCCCGATTTATTAACTAATTTGTGTGATCGGATCGACGAGCGCTGTCGGCATGGAGCGGGATCTTCTTTTCAGGAATATCTGGATCATTTGAATTTCGATTTATAGAGGGGACTCCATAGGAACCATCGAAATCCAATGTCCTGATGCCATCGCAACCTTCTTGGATCTATATGAATGATTCATGAATTTTCTTTTTCATTCGAATTCCTTGTAGGATTTCCCTCACGCAAGATCATGGGTCGAGCCTACCTCCTGAGCACGATGGATATTGAAGGAGATTCAAATCATATTTCGTCTCATCAGAATATCTTTTTGAAGCGATGGTTCGTCTCAACTTTGATTCTTTGCATTTAGGAATCTTCGATTCTTCTTATTCTTTTTTCGTTTTTGTGGGATGACTCATAATTAGGGGTGGTGACGGATTGTTAAACACGTCGAGACGTCTTGGAGAATTCGAAATTTTTCTTGCTCTCGTGGATATGGATTCCCTTTCATTTGTTTGGGCGAATATAAGGATTGGATGATGAATTTCATTCATAGAATAAATTTAGGATTCGAATTTGGAAATCTTGTCCCTATAGGCACCAAGATCCTAAATCTTCAGCGACAATCCCTAAATCTTACCTTCAAGTTTCACCATTCGTTCAAGTTCTTGCTGGATAAGTTGGTGCCCACGCTCGCGCGTCAGGCTCTCAGGTTTCTATGTAGGGATCCCGAAATTAATTGGATCTTTTATTTGTCCGTTTCTCTTCAAAGTTTTGGCGTACGTCTTCTTCCATTCAATAGCTGAATATGCCATCGATGGAATCGACGGGTCCCCTCTAGTTCTCTATAAATCTTAGAAGTTTTGGAAATCCCCCGGCCCCGAAAATTCGGCAATTTTCGGGATTTCCCTAGTTTAGGGTTTAAGGGTTTTACGGTTTAGGGTTTTGGTGATTCTTGAGATATTATTTGTCAAATGCGACGCTTAGGGCTCGTCTTGAACCGGAGGGTATTTTGCTAGGAGCAGGGCGTCGACCAGTTGATGTCTTATTTGCGCCCAACTCCTTTGCGTACACAATCCCAATGGGCTTTGTATCTCTATATAGTTTTGGATTTCGCGGTTGTTTCTCTTGTCAAGGGTGGGGAATTTCAGGTCGCTGTCGAATCCAAGGAATTGGATTTGAACTTGTGGTTTTCGAGATGTTGGGCGGTTTGGAGGTGGAGGCGGTTCGTCTGTGCGAATCTCTCTGCCAGATAGTTGATCGTAAAATTCAATAAGTTTTGGATCGTATTCATTTATGATTCATGTCTCGTATTCCGACTGACATCCAACGACGCGTGCATAGGCGTTATGAATGGGAACGAATATCTAGTCTCATTACACTAGAGGATTGTGGTGTTTCTCGCGCATTCTTATTGGCAGTTTCTTGAAGGATTTGATTTAATTTACCAGGATGATGCCCCCCGCGCAGATTGGAAAGTTTTGTCCCATGATGACTGGCGGCGATCAAATGAGGCGTTACGTTTCTAGAATTATTTCATTTTCATGATTCTTATCTGTTTCACTTTTGGAGAACCCCTTCGTCTTTGTTATATTTTCTCTTATTTTCTGGCATCTTCCCTTAATTGGGGGTGGTGGTGGGCGCATTTGCCCCATCGTGGTCCGTCTCATTTGGGATTTCGCCTGCTTTTTCGTTTGTTGTGGTTCTGGGGGCTCTCTTTATTTCATTTGCGATGATTTTTCTACCATGGTCTTTCTTACGATAATTGGTGCTTTTGGGTGCAGATACCACTTGCGCCGTAGCTGGTTTCACAAGAAGCATCATTGATTCTCTGATGCCTCTATCGTAGACACCGGCGGATCTTGCCCCTTACAATTATTTCTTAGGATCAAGAAATTAAAGAAGATTTCCTGCTCAGGCACTTTGCAAATTTTGCGGCCCTTGAGGATATTTTATTTGGAATTTGATTATATATTCAAGCAAGCTCATATAATCATATTAGGAGGTTGCCCGACAATATGTGCTACAACAATATAGGAGACAAGTATTCCATAAAATACCAATTTATGATAAGATCTTCGTTGAGAGAGATTCATGCTCCCTATAGATGCCAAAAGAAATATAGACAACCCTCGAATCAAATATATAGAGAATACGTGACGAGACACTTCCCTATTCCTAGGTACGTGCACGGTCCCACCACCGCCCCGAATTAGATCCAGGAGAAAAGAAGTGACCAAAATCAGACGAAGATCATATCCAATTCGAGGAGGGGATCCAGAAATGAGATATATATCTCGATATGGTTCCTAAGCACAATCAGACAAAAATCACAAATGAAATCGAAAAGGATCATATGGATTCCATTCGTAATAGCTACCACGACTCATATGATGAAACCTGCACAGGGGGGATCATCCTACAAGTCATATCAAGTCATTGACTCGAATATTCTTGGAGGAATCTGGAAATGATTCCTCCACCTATATCATCCGATCTATAATTGGTCCGACATCGTCCCAATATTACATTAATAGGATTCCCAATTGGATATCAACCGAGATTCGTCCTTTCAACATGGATTTAGTAACGTCCGATTTCCTGTCCTGATTTCTATCGTATTCTCGGCTCAGGTTTTTCAAATGGCCATGCGCCCCCTGCTCACATCCCCCGGTTGTCTCGAACACAATTGGCTCGAAGCCAAGTTGTTGCGCATGACATGCCTGCAAAATTCCCCTATCTTATCATTTGATTTCTGTGTATGTAGTCGTAGCACTGGCCGGATCCAAGGATTGTCGTCCAATCGCGACGCCATATATGGAGACACCAATACGAAATCTAAAATTATCTGACAAAACCTCTGCCACTCATTCTGCTTCAAAAGGGGAGTTGATAGCAGTAAGATATCCGCCGGGCGGCGTCTCTCGGAGTTCGGCAAGAGACCCCCTGGTTCGAGTTGCGCCGAGTTCCTGCTTCTCGTGCAATCCTAAAAATGATATATTTCGAGCTATGACGCAAGATCATGGATCATAAATCTTCAGCCACAATTCCTAAACCCTTCCTTCAAATTACACCGTTCGTTGAAGTTATTTCTAAATAAGCTCGTGCCTACTACGCTCGCGTGTCAGGCTCTCAGATGTCTATATAGAGATCCCGAAAATATTTGGATTTTTCGTTTACCCGCACTTCTTCAGGGCTTTGGCATACGTCTTCTTCCACTCAATAGGTGGATTCTGATATATTCGGCGCAAGAGACATGAGCTCCTAAAGCCCAAACTCAGAATATAGATATCCAATCATCCTCAGACGGTACGAAACGGCATCTACGTTCCAAAGCACCAAATAAGAATCTATATAGAAATTCCAGAATTCTCGTGAGATAATGCGACCGTCCCAAAAACAAAGATTGCGGTCACACGATTCCAAATCCCCAAGCAGTGCATGAAACGCCCACTACCACCCCCAATTAAGGCCAAGGACACAGAATCGTGGCAGACGACGGAATTCGACAGATCCCCTCTAATATATTTTTTTATTAATGTATTTGTAAGGGATTTATTGAATTCTTGGGAAGATCTATATATTCTCTTTCTCTTTCTTTCTTCTGGGGGATGGTGATTGTGGATTGGCTTAAATGATTATATAGGAATCTTAAGGAAATCTCATTGAGAATAGAAATCTCATGAGGAATCTAATGAGGAGAATCTTTTTTGATTTCGATTTTCAATGCGAATATAAGTTGGGAAAATGTGATTTATCGATCTTTTAGGTCTTTGAAAGATTCAATTAGAGGTATCAGAAAAATCACACAAATTATCATAGGAATCATGGGTTTGTGATAGACAAATATTCAAAGCGATATTTCTTTTTGCTCTTTCGATATCGACTCTTCCTATTATTGAGACGTAGAAAATCTAAAATATCGGATTATCCGGATTATTCACCCGCTAATAGGGAACCTGAATTGGATTTTGACCATCGTGA